ACAGCCAAAGAAAGGGGTGGAAATGTTGCGATCCAACAAGTGGAAGATGTTACACTTCACGAGATGTGGTGGTTGACGAAGCGTCTTCTTGGTGGTCCTCAGAGAAGGAGGTGCTACCAGACTCCAGAGAATTTGGAGAAAAGCTGTAACAGAAGATGGGGGAGCATACTATCCAACTCCAACCAAGTTCAAATGAATTAGGAGATCCAAATGGCGATGATGACGAACAAATAGTGGCTCAGAATCCTTGGCAAACTGGCGTGTATCAACAACCAAACGAAGAAGGTGGGCTTAGTGAAACGGAAGAAAGGACACTTGCTTTGGCTTACTATTATACCAGATAGACTCCATCTCGCCCCTTTCCCTCCCTAACAAACCCTAACCTCAAACTGCCATGGCCGCCGGCCGCTTGCTATGGCTTGGGGCCGATGGCAGCCCATCCCTTTCTCCTTCCTTTCTTTCCTTTCTTCCCTTAGTCCTCTCCTCCCATCCGTTCCGCCGCCTCTGCTCTCAGATTTGTTGCAGCGCCACCTTGGTTGATTATTGCATTGCGTTGGGCGAGCAAATTTGACGGTTCCAGCGCCTGGGCCGCTCTGTTTTGGCAGTTGCCCTGATGGAATTTTTCAGATTTACAAAATGTTCGCAGCTCCGCTGCTTTGTTAGACTTGTGGATGTTGCTGATCCCGTTTGTGCAGTGTCACAATGGTTGTCTTTGCCTGAGTTGTCATATCCGTCCATCAGATTGTGCCGTGCTGCGGTTCCTCTCTCGGAGTAGTTTAGTTTAGTTTTGTCTAGTTCTATTGTCTCGCATAGTGTGTTGCAGCGACATAGCTGAATTTGGTTTGAGAAATTTTATTTGAACCATGTAATCTCTTTCGAAATGAGTCGCAGTCCCAACCAGATCCTCCTTTCAATTTTAGTGAAGCCCAGCTGTTTCATTCAGCCACCCATCCTTTTCGTTTCTCTGTCCAAGAAAAAGGTCTGGTAAGATGGTATTCCTTGTTGAAACAATGTACTTCTGCAATTTTGTAGTTATTTTTTTTTTCCTTTGAACAACTGTATTAGCAATTTTATTTAGCACAACAAATTTGAATACATTTGTAGGCAATTGCACAGATGATTATCTAATTGGCATTAAGTTGATTTTTTGCAACAAGTTATGTTATTATGGTTCTTTCACAAGTGATGGTTTTAACATGCTTCAGACGGTGAGCGCAAATGAGTGTTAGGGTTAAAGATATATGGCAGAAACATTAAACCCCCGGTCTCACCCTTGGGAGGCATGAATACATTTTTGAATAAAAAAGCAAGCGCACCACTGATCCATTACTACAGATAGAAGTACTGCATGCAGTGCCATAAGCTGTATAGCATTCATATTTCTAGGTTTCATGGTAGTACTGTACTGATCCAATGCTCTCGTTGTGTGTGCGCTTCCCCATTCTCTTGTATTGGCTTTGTGTATTTGCCCGAGCTTCTATCGAAGATTAAACATGGCTACGTTTTTTACTACAAATCAATTTGGATCGTCATGAATATAAAAAGATGCTAAATGAGTTAACTTGTAAAGTAAGTAAACCACAACCACCAAGCCAAGCCTATGAAACTTCTTTTATCTTTTTAAAGAACACAACCACCAAGCAACTGGTACACTCGTCGGAGAGCCGCGTCTCATTGGATTCATAATCCACTCAATCAAGCAACCTTCCTACACCCCATTCGAACCGAAATCCCAAATCAACTCAATCAATCACCAAATCAACACAAACCCAAAACCCAAAACCAAAATCCCAATACTTACCCCAACAATTAAGAATAGGAAATTGTTATTGGCACTTTAAAAATCTCATTTGGCACTCCAAACTCTTTATAATTAGAAAGAAAAATACATTTATGAGGAGTGTAGAAGGAGATTTTTGGAATTTTAATAGCAGTTCCCTTAAGAATATACCAAAACAAAAGGCAACTTAACACTAAAGCTTATATATTCAATATTCAGCTCCAAAAAGCAAGGGAGAAAATTTCCTTTTTTTTTTTTTTTTTCAAAAAACTGAAATATAGATATTTGAGGAACAAGAACACAGTAACAGATGCAACCTTAACAAACTGAAGTTGACCAAATCTATGACAAACCAGTTTTCCAGTCAACGATTCATGATGTGTAACATCTTCTAGTCGTAGGATCACAACATTTCCATCATTTTCTCTTATTGTCGTATCTCACAAAGATACATCTGACTGCCTTCTTGTCAAACTTGCTACATAGATGACTTGGAACAAATATGTAGCACACACAACCAAATACTCGAAAATAGCTAACTGTAGGTTTCGTATCCCACAGTTTCTCAAAGGGTGAAACAAATTCTGACCTTGGTTGAGGAAGCCTGTTGATCACATGAGCTGCAGTTCTCATATCTTCAGCCCAAAACCTTCCTGGTACATTCTTGATGGAATGATCTGATTCAATCGATTATGTATATGTCAAAGGGTGATTTTCACA